TCAATGCAGCAGAAGAGGGAGAAGACCAACAAGAAGTGTTTGTCCATCCTGACGCGGGAGAAAAGAAGCCAGGGGCTGCCAGGCCAGGTCCCCAGGCTACAGGGAGGAAACTTCCTTCATCTCAGGGCAGGGATCATTCATGCAGAAGGGAACCAATCACACAAGGTTTCCACGGGGAGCTCAACTTCATTTTTCTCCACCCCACCGCAAAGAATAATGATCACTGATAAATGCTGGGGTTTCCACTAAACCAACTTTGTTTTTTCATATAACCATCATAGTCATTATTATTAGCATTATAGTTACAATGTTATAACTCTTGTTCTGATTTCCCACAGGAAGAAACTGAGCCAAGGTTAGTATCTGACCCAAGGCCACATATCTAGTGACTGGTAGTGCCAGTCCTCAAAGCAAGACTTTCTAGTTTAGAGACCATATCTGGTCTCTCGATTCCCTGCCTCTTGGAAATTTATTCATACATTCAACAAACATTTTCTGAGCGCTTTATGTGCCAGACACACTTCCATGTAGGCGAGCAGAGGCGTGCATAACTCAGACGAGCTCACCTAGCTCCTTACCTTGCGGGTGAAAAACAGGAACATCAGATGAAAAGATGTATCATCTATGACCAAAATTGGGTCTTCAACCTAGAACTTTGTGATTCTCAGCCCAGAATTCCTTCACCTTCCCAGAAATCCATGCTCCCTGGCCAGGGACTGTGAAATTTGTAGGGCTGTGAAATCCCCCCTAGAATGATACAACTTGAACTTAAGGAAATATATATTGTGAATCTGGCCAGTTTTGTCCATGATGTAGGTATCTATCTTTATGAAAGTTAACTCAGTTGCCCTAATCGGTTTGGCTCAGTGGATAGAGCGTCGGCCTGCAGACTGAAAGATCCCAGGTTCCATTCCGGTCAAGGGCATGTACCTTGGTTGCGGGCACATCCCCAGTAGGAAGCGTGCAGGAGGCAGCTGATTGATGTTTCTCTCTCATTGATGTTTCTAACTCTCTATCCCTCTCCCTTCCTCTCTGAAAAAAAAATCAATAAAATATATTTAAAAAAAGAAAGAAAGTTAACTCAGTTAAGGTTAACCAGGGGTCAAGCAGTGGAAAACGATGGCCAGCCCTGGCATTCTAAAGCTAAGCCTGTCAGTCAGTGAGCTGATGGGACTTTGGCTAGAGATCCCAAGAATCTTCCATACTGAACTAACTCAATGACATGCTCTTTAGTTGTAGGAACAATATGTTCAATAAAACGTATCAAGTCTGACATTTTGAGACATCAGGCATAGATTGCATGAAATAAGGTCTGAGCTCAAATGCCCCCAAATTTGCAATCATCCTTGCTTGGGACGAGAGCCAGATAGGCTTTAGATATGAGGGAATTGGGTCTGGAAAAAAAATTGATTCTAGAATGGAGAGAAAGATTGTGAAGTCTTTTCTCCACTCTGCCATATTTCTGGTGAGGATGTTACAAACTGGATGGAATGTTTCAGGACTTTCCAAAGGATTAGCAAGAAGGCAAACCCGTGAGCCTTTGGTGCTTGGGTCTATAAGGTTATCAGGGCATTTCTTTTGTTACTTGTTTTCTCTGCTTTGTCTGTTTAAAGACAATGACTCTAGAACAGTGGTTCTCAACCTTCCTAATGCCGCGACCCTTTAATACAGTTCCTCATGTGGTGGTGACCCCCAATTTCATTGTTACAAATTGAACATAATTAAAGCATAGTGGTTAATCACGAAAACAATATGTAATTATATATGTGTTTTCCGATGGTCTTAGGCGACCCCTGTGAAAGGGTCGTTCGACCCCCAAAGGGGTCGCGACCCACAGGTTGAGAACCACCATAGCCAAGGAAGTGTTTACACAGTTTCCACCATTCTTCTTTCTAGGCTCCCTATGGCAGATGCTTTCTGAAAGGCTCATTGAGTTTTGAATCTCTTTTCTGCTGGATTATTTCCAGGGAGGATTATGGAATTTTGCAACTCCACCCAGGCACTGGGATCCTTTGACCCGCTCTGCATTCTCCCACAGTAACTCATCCATCAAAGTTCCTCTTAAAAACAATGTTGTTCTCCAGTTAGCATGGAGTAGGGGAGAATAGGTATTAGAACCTATTAGGAGAGGCAATGTGGTGTAATAGAAATAGCATTTTCCTCGGAGTCTGGAGACCTGTGGTTGACTGCAATGCAACTCATGGTGTCTCTACCAAGCCACTTATCTATGAAGTGGGATTTCGAGCGTTTTTAGGATCATTTACAACTTTAACATTCTATGGCTCTATGATGTACGTCATGAGGATGGGTACCAATTCTGTTATTTTGACCTAGCACTCTGCTTCGCACACGGTGATGAGCTGAACATATGGTGACTGAGTGCGGAAGTGAACGGATGAAGGTGTCCATCTCACCTGATTCCAGTCTCCATAACTGATAGAGTCAGTGGGGCACAGCGCCCAGATGAATGCACTCCCATGCGAAGAAGCTGCCACTCAGCATAGATGCCGTTCGCCCTGCTCTGGGGAGATGAAAGCAGAACATCGTGTCCTTGTGTTCATGGTCCCTCTTGGCATCAGGATGGGGGCTGAGATCTTGGTGATACCACAGATGAGCAACCTCCTAATCTGAGTTTCTAAAAAGAAAGCTCGGTTTGAAAAGGTTGGCACATTTCTTTTTTTTTTCTTTTTTAATATGCTTTTATTGATTTCAGAGAGAAAGGGAGTGGGAGAGAGAGATAGAAACATCAATGATGAGAGAGAATCATTGATCAGCTGCCTCCTACTGGGGGATCCCCTACTGGGGATCGAGCCCACAACCTAGGCATGTGCCCTGACCGGGAATTGAACCTTGACTTCCTGGTACATGGGACTCAACCACTGAGCCACACCAGCTGGGCTGTCATGTCTCTTCAGCTTCCTTTAAACTGGAATATTTCTACAGCCTGTCCTTGTCTTTCGTGATGTGATATATATATATTAAACAGTCCTCCCTCTTTTAAAATGCAGCATTCATCATTCATTTGGGGGGTGTTTGATAATTCCTCATGATTAGATTTAGATGGTCCATTCTGGGCTGAAGTACTGCATGGGTGCTATTGTGTTCTTCTTTGTATCATATTTAGAGGCACACAATGTCTATCTGTTCTTCACTGAGGATGTAAAAATACATTACATTTTATTTTAAAAATTTTATCATAGCTTTATTGAGTTATAATTGACCTCCAAAAACTGCACTAATTTAGACTGTATGGTATAATAATATTTGGCATGTTCATAATTGTGACACCATACCAAAACCAAGATGGCCAAAAGGCCCAGGACAGTCCAACTGGTTTTCACGATTGCCTTTGTAAACTTCCTAAGTAGCACAACGCTTCACTTTGAAGTGTCAAGATGCATGCTGCCTACTATCTCAGGACTCTAGCTGGAATGTAGAAAGAGCTTCATTTTTACATCCTTATTTTAGTTCCCCCAAAATCAATCTGATAACCTGGTTGCTACGTGAAAAATGGACTGGAAGGATGCATGAGAGGATGTGGAAAAATCATTATTCACTTGTTCCACAAATACAGTATTTAGGGGGTGTCTCCTAAGTGGGGAGTGTCCAGATGTTGGGAGTGCAGCGGTCAATGAAACCAAACCCCTGCTTTGTTCTAGTAGAGGAGTCAAGCAAGTCACCAAATAGATACGTACAGTCAAGTAGTGAGAAATTCCATCCTACACGATTAGGACACAGTAAACCCAGCAGCAAGACCAGTGCATGGTCCCCTTTTTTTTACCACATGCCATCACCTCCAACAGCATGCACCTTTGTGCCTTGGTTTCCTGCTTACCCAGATCACTGCAACCCATCACAGTGTGTCAGGTCTTTTGACAGCTCCGTACTTTGACATATGCTATTCTTTTGGGTGCCTGTCCCTACTCACTTCTTAAAAAAAAAAAAAAAAGGTTTTGATTGATTTGAGAGAGAGAGAGAGACATCAATGTGAGAGAGAAACATCCATCGGCTGCCTCCTGTATGCCCCCTACAGGGGACTGAGCCCACAGCCCAGGCATGTGCCCTGTCTGGAATCGATCTGGAGACCTTTTGGTGCATGGGACCACACCCAACCAACTGAGCCACATCAGCCAGGGCCCTACTCACCTATTTTAGCTAGCACATTGATAGCCCGAAAAGTCCTGTCCAACCACTTCTTTTTCAGGGAAACCTTCCCTGGTTAGACAGTCAAATTGGAGTGTCCCTCATCTCAGCCCTCATAAACAGCCTTGCTTGATGTACCTGTGGTCCCTAAAACAAGGCTTTAATGTCTGTGAGACCACTAACTTGTGTCCTAGTTCACTGATCTTCTCTTCCTGTGATATTGTCATTTGGTCTGTATTTTGTAATTATTTAATTACAAAACCAATCACCTGAAAGCAAACCAGACAAATTTCACCTCGGCTTACCTTTTCCCTGATGTCTCCCTCCCCTGCACCACAGAAGGGGCACCCCAATGCTCCCCCACATGCAGACTACACCTGGAATCCTGAGCTTATTAGGTGAGACAAAAAAAAAGTCTGCGATTATTCTAAAGAGAACAACTAGGTTAGTGAAAATAGCTAAAAGGAACTAAGATGTCCAAATCCTGTCTTGATATATTTGAAAGGTTAAAATATGAAAGAGAAATTTGACTTTATTGCATAGCTCAATGTATACTAGAGGCCTGATGCACGAAATTCGTCACAGCTTCGTCCGGAAAGTCGTTCAGCTGTCTGGTCTAATTAGCATATTATGCTTTTATTATTATAGATGTTGGCTCATTGTTGAAGAGAATTTTAAACTAGATGCCTTAGGGGTAGTGAGACTCCAGTGGGTGGTTTTGTTCTGGGAACATTGAGGTTCTGTCTGTCCCAGAATTTTTATGATTCTATAATTTAGAAGAAGTGCCCAAGGACAGATCACTGGAGGAGATTAACCAGCACGTTCCTCAGGAAAGTGCACACGACCCAAGTCCAAGGATGTTCGCTCTGTTTTTGCTGGGCCTGGTCTCTCTGATCTGCACCAATAATGGTAAGTCCTGGAGACAGAGGGGCAGCTGGTTGTTGCTTAGGAGATGGGCAGACATTGGGGGAGGAGAAATTTCCAGAATTGGCTTTGGGACTTGGGCAGATTTATGTGGAATTATTTCAAGGAATACTTTTCTTCTTTTCACAGGTGATCTTCAGAGGTATCTCATAGGTACGACCGTGCCTAGTCTGAAGTCCTTGGTAAACATGTCTTTTGTGACGTGTTTAGAAGTAAACATCCCCTCCATCTGCAGAGAGGGCTAGAAAACATTCTTATTATAGAGTCCTAGGATTTTTCTCTTCTCCCAGACCAATTTAGTCCACTCCAGACCAATTTAGTCTATTCCTTTCCATAAGGAGACTAAAATCCACTTTGTTACTCCCTTTTCCTCCTTACTGGACAAAAGTCATCTAGATTTTGACTTGACAAGGGGCTAAATCTTTGGGGTGGGCGCATAGATAAATTTTATAGGGACTCTGACCTTTTGAAATCATACGCAACATTTGATGTATGTCTGTACATGTTAGCTTTCACGGAGATTATTGAAGGATTTGATGGCCTAAGGAAGAGTAGGAGCCATGAGGCAACAGTACATTCCTGTAGAGAAGCCCCCCAGCCTGGAGAACCCTCTGCTGAGTACATTCTGCTTAAGCACCTCTTTCTGTGTCTGGCAGAGCCTTCCGTACTATGTTATAAATGTAAGAAATTTCATCTTGGGTTATGCTATGACATCATGGACTCCTGCACCCTGAAGTTCCAGCAGTCCTGTGCCATCGAGAACATTTACATCCTCACAAAAAAAGGTAGTGTGGGGTGCAGTGTGACTGAGAAAGACCCACCTCCCCCCCTTGGACACTCGCTGTTCTTTTGCCCTCACTCAGAGGGTGTGAGAGAATGGGCTGGGGAAGGAAGGGGTGGTCCTCTAGAGGGGATGGCAAATGCCCCTGGGGCACCTAGACACATCCATTATTGGTTTTCCCGAAGACAGCAGTGAGTGAAGAAGCCACTGATGTGCCTTCTTGGTTAGGGAATGAAATCCATGATCTGGGTCAGTAGTTAGTAGACTCAGCTTTGTGGCTCATCTGGGCTCAGGGAAAAATTAGTGAGGCTCTGAAGAGAGGTGGGTCCTAGGAATACGGTAGGAGGAAACAACGTCATTACAGTGGCATTCCCTCTCTTTCACCTCCTCAGGGCAGAGTATATACTATTATTCAATACTGTCGTGTATGACCAACTGTGAGGATGTCAACTTCTTGGGTTTTGAGAAGAGGACAGAGCTCCTCTGTTGTGACCATAGTAACTATTGCAACCTCCCCGAGGGATCCTAGCTCCGCGTCTCTCCTGGGTTTGGGGTCATTGTTCAACTCCCCATTCCCTTTATTTCCTCCCCACAAACCTTATTTTGCACTCCTCTTCGAACAATGACAGCGAGTGAGAAAGCCAGCTGATAGTGAAAAGGGTAGCAGTCATAAGAAGAAATAGAGGAGGGTAGCTGAGTCTCATTCACTATGAAGTGTCTAATGGAGATAAAAGAGGACTCACTCTAGCTTCCCAATATGCTGGCAACGTGAGCCACATCTTTGTCTGGTAGAGAGCTCTTTGGTGGTGGGGGTAAGGTGATGGGGGGCGGAGTGTGGGGGGGAGCAGGAATCAAGCTAGAACACCTGGGCAGGCAGAGGGATAAAGCATCAAGGAAAATTTTTGAGGGCATTTCAGTTTATGGACACTAAGATTTGAGAGACAATTTGGTGTGAGTGCAGTGATGATGGCCCTACCTAGCCAGGTAATCAGGTAGCCATGTAGGGATTGAATTGAGAGTGGAGACCTTGCCCTAGCCGGTTGGGCTCAGTGGATAGAGTGCCTGCGGACTGCAGGGTCCCAGGTTTGATTCCAGTGGAGGGCACATGCCCAGGTTGTGGGCTCGATCCCCAGTAGGGGGCGTACAGGAGGCAGCCAATCAATGATTCTCTCTCATCATTGATGTTTCTATCTCTCTCTCTCCTCCCTTCCTCTCCGAAATCAATAAAGATACATTTTTTTTAACTTAAAAAAGAGAAAGGGCTTTTTCTTACCCATGAAGAAGACAGAGCCATGTGTTTGCAACCTGAAATGTGTTTATTTAGGAAAGCATTCTGAAGAGGCCGTGGCAACAATGCCCCCTAGAGGTGGAGCCACAGAATTTCTAGATGAGTTCATTACAAAAGTCAGAGCTCCTGCAGCACCGGAAGTCTACCAGGTAGATGCTCCATCTGATGTTGTTCACGTTCGCACAGTTCTTCAGGCAGCCCGCGAAGATCAACCACAGAGTACCGTCACCTGCAGGGGGGAGGAGAAACATCAGCACAGAGGTGCCTACCCAGAAACTTCTGTCCAGACCACCCCGGCACAGGAAAGCGACCTCGGATCGTAGTGTAAGGCTGTGTTATTCAAATGGAGAGAATTGGAAGATGCTGCTGGCTGGAGGCTTCCCAGACGAAAGGCAATGGCAGAGGAGTTGGGAGAGAGGGTTGGGGGTGGAGAAACAATGCCAGCAACAATCCTGGGGTTGCCAAAGCAGACGCTTCCATCGAGAATCAGCACTGGTGTAAGAGCGATAAATGCCAAGGGATCACTTAGCACCAAGGGTAGGCGATCGGAGAAGTCATGATGCTTAGTCTTACCCATTGAGGGCTATGTAAGCCAGTCGCTACTGCTGCTCGCAGCTCCTCTGTCTCCACAGCTGAAAACCACCCGGGAGGACTTGCAGGCAGAGACAAAGACACGGAGCTGCCCTCCAGCCAGTTGCCTCTCCCCTGCTCCCTTCGGGCTTCTGGAAATACTGGCTCTCTAGCTACAGACCCACCCCTTCCTTCATGGTCACCCTCATCTAGTTTCATTCTGCCATATGATGTGGGTGGAGGTACCAGCCACTCAGAGCTGAGATCGCCAGGAGTGAAAGGAGCCCCGCCTCTTTCCTCTGGCTGACACCTCCCTGTCTGCTTCCTTCGCCCCTCTTTCCTTCCCCCTACCCACAACTTACTTTTAGAAATCCTCCCAACTGTGCAAGCCTCCTCCGGTGTGGCATGACATATCCCCCTGCCTCTGTAGCATCTCTGCCCTGGAAACATGATGTGGCACATCTTGCACTGGACAGTGTCTGTAATTTGGACCAGAGAGGAGGGAAGTGGAAGCGAGAGCAGCTCTCGCATGCCCTGGGAGGACCCACCTCCCCTTTCAGGCTGGGATTCGGCAGAGGTTAAGCCAAGACAGGCTGTGGGGTCTGTGGTCTCAAGAGCCTTAGTCTGACAAATACGGGAGGGGAAAGACACAAAAAGAGGAACAAAGCCAAGGCTGAGGCCACCTGCTCAGGTCCTCCTCATACTCACCAAAAAATTTGCTTTTTTCAATATAGAGGTGCTGCTGGTAATTGCCTGCGCTGGCAAAGAGAAATGGCACGTGAAGCAAACCTGCCCTTTTCATCCTTGCCGTGCCCGGGGTCCATCCTCTCTCTAACCTGGAGCCACCTTAGGCCATGTCTATCCCTCCGGAGCCTGAACACCTATCTCACGACCCCTTCACGCTCCTTCCCCACTTGAATGCTCTTCACCTGTATGGGGCCTCTCAGACTCCCCTCCCCGTTCTTCTAGGACGCAGCGCAGACCAGGGGGAGACGGGGAAATACACTTCTTTTTTCTTTTTTTTTAAACCTCACTCTCTTCTTTTTAACCCACCCTATGTGGCTTTTACCCACGTGTTGTCTGGAAGCTGACGATAGGAAAAAGCATCTGATAGCCGTTACGTAGGTACACTTTGGATTTAGCCCACTAGTGCCTGGAACGTCTCCCTTTCCACTTTCCCTCGTTCTTGTCCTTTATTAACTCGCCCTAAGCCTTGTCAGCTGCTGTTCATGTTAGGAGGTCAAACTTAAAACCAGCTCCCACCCCAGCCCCCTCCTGCGGGAATAGGTTGCTGGGTGTTCAAAGTCTGGGTCTATCTCTGGTTCCTTTCCATCCCCAAGGCCTGCCCTGCCCCTCTCATCTCCTCCCTCCTCTAACCTTCCCCCTCCCCCACTACTGATCCATTTCTACTCACCTGCATATTCTCTGTTCGTAAATGACCCAGATAGTACTGTTGGGGGAAGAGAGATACATTCTCAGCAGACCTTGTTTTAACAAGTCCCACCTCCAAGCTTCTGTGAAAATTCTCTCAATTCCTTATAACCCATCAATTTTTTCCTGGGGGGACGGGGGGGAGGCACGGACAGAAGCTATGGCTTTGGTGAGATCCCAGGGACATGATGCCCTGAGGTGGAAGGCATGGCATTGGAATGGCAGTTTCTGGTGCCCCAGGGCTCCCCTAAGAGGACCTCTGTGGTGGGAACCCTGACCCATTCCAGGACCCTTCACACGTCTCTCCAACCGTCACCCCTGGGGCTCACCTCTGAAGCAGCAGAGCAGCACAGGGAGTCCCCGCAGGAGGGGCCTGTCCATTGTGGAGGGAGAGAGGAGTAGCTTAGGGCAGGAGCTGAGGTGCCTATTTATACACCTGCCAGGTGGGGCTTCCCCAGGAAGGGCTAGGGGCGGGGACACTGCGGAAGTCCTTCAGAGACTCCCCTGCTTCTAGGGACCAGTCATTTCCCTTTCGGCACATTTCGGGAGAGGGACTGGCTAGACACATCCTGGCCCTGATTTATTTCAGTCCTGCTACTCAGGATTTCCCATGTCATGTTCTACCACCTTTTCTTTCTTCCACACGGTGGAGAGTACAGGGTGGGTCAGGGCTGGGCAGGTAGGACTCAGACATCCTCACCAAGGTGCTCATTAAAGCAAGGAGAGCATGAGTGCAGATAACTGGAAGGCAGAAAGGCCGATGCCTCTAGGGCAGTGGTTCTCAACCTTCTGGCCCTTTAAATACAGTTCCTCATGTTGTGGTGACCCCCAACCATAAAATTATTTTCGTTGCTACTTCATAACTGTCATGTTGCTACTGTTATGGGGTCTTACGCGACCCCTGTGAAAGGGTCGGTCGTTCGACCGCCAAAGGGGTCGCGACCCACAGGTTGAGAACCGCTGCTCTAGGGAATGGGGAAGAGAAGGGGAAGGTTAGGCTCAGAGGCCCTGACAGAGGATTCTCCTGAGGGGAGTGGTCCCCCACTGTCAGTCATCCTGGAATGAAGCAAACCCTAGGGCAGGAGATGGGAGTCGAGGAGGAACCTGCTTCCCACTCTGGGAGCTGAGACTTAGATTTTTTGTATGTTAATCCTCACCCAAGGAGATTTTTCCCATTCATTTTTAGAAAGACTGGAAAGGATGGCGGAAGAAGAAGAGAGAGAGAGAGAGAGACAGAGATGTGAGAGAGACACATCCCTTATTGGTTGCCTCCTGCTCCTGCCCCAACCAGGGCCGGTGGTCAAACCCGAAACCCAGGTACATGCCCTTGACCAGGAATCGAACCCGTGACTCTTCAGTGTATGGGCAAACGCTCTAACCACTGACCCACACCAACCAGGGTGAGACGTAGACTTTTGTTAGCAGAGAGAAGTTTTAGATTACTTCTCCTGGCGGGAGGTCAGCTGGTCCTTCCCCCTGGCTGTCAGGCCGGGTATTAGTGGGTTTTCCCTGAACTCTGAGGGTGACTGTGCATCCAGGTAGGTAGGTGGCTGAATGTCAAGGTCCCATGGAGGGACCAAGCCAGCGGATTCCAAGAACAGCCATAGCCAGGATCTTATTCTATGTTTTCTGTTAGCTTCCCTCCGTTATTCCTATGCCTTCAACAAACTATAATGGAAATCTCAGCTTAGTCCCTGATGTTATTTGCAAGGAATTGAGGGTAGGGCCTGTGTCCATGCTTCGGGCAAAGCCATATAGGGGGGAGAAACGGCTCCTGGAAGGAAGCAGATTGCACTAGGGCAGTGGTTGGCAAACTCATTAGTCAACAGAGCCAAATGTCAACAGTACAACAATGGAAATTTCTTTTGAGAGCCAAATGTTTTAAACTTAAGCTATATAGGTAGGTACATTCAACTTTAAATTCACGGCCTTCGTCTTCCGTTTTTCTTTGCTTCTTCTTTGTAGCCATCTCAAACAGGGCACCTCAAAAAATGTTTCATTTTATAATAATAAAGCCACCAACACAAAAGAATTACAATTCTTAAATTGATGACAAAAATACCTGTAGGATTTGCA